GGTATTCATCAATCTTGGTGGAAAATGTGGTGGCGACAAATGTCCTACTTGTGATCGGGGCAACCAAGTCACCTCCACAGGCGAAACTCCAGCAGATTTTTTCTTGAGTTTTTTGAGGTAGTAATAATTGAGGTACTTCAATGGGGCCGAATTATTACATCCACCTGGCACGAAGACGCCTGGCGCCTGTGCCACAGGTAGAGGCGCTAAAATGGGACATTTGGTGCCGTTGACTGTGATACAGGCGCCAGGAGTTTTCCCAACTGGCCGATGTGGTACCCATGTGTGGGTGGGCCGGCTGGACATCATTCTCATGCAGTCGCGTCGAGTCAGGTTAAAATGATGTTGGAAAACCTCCAAAGTGAAATAGAGTGCAATTGAGTCCGGATATGCATCCCTACTTCCATTCCCTAACTGGGAGGGGGTCCTAGCATCCAGATTATAGGCGCAGTTCACGCCGCCCGTTTGGGTGGAGTCAGGTTCAGCACAGGTATTCCTCATTGGCGTGCTCCAGTCGTTTATCCAAAACGATAAAGCCGATGATCGTCAACGAGGACGGTACACTTCCCGACTCCGCCCATACACTTACTGTGGGGTGTGCCGGGTCAGATCTTTCTGAAAAGCTAAAAGTAGCAAAAGTCGTTTATTCAGTTCGCATAATAAATTACGGTATAGCCACTTCTTTTGATATCGTCATAAAAGCTACTCCAATTAGAGTAAAACCATAGGCGATTGCTAGAATGATGAGGTTTCGCCGACCCTGAAAATCATGCTAAAAATTGTATCGATCATTTCACAAATGTGTGGCACTTACCGTAATTTCGTGGAAATACAGTATACTCCACATCGACACCACCAAACCTGGTGCCATTGCACAAATCGGATACGCAATTGCGGCATTCAATTGATCGATAGCGATTACGAATGAAGTCATCGCCAGAGCGAATATCGCTCCTGCTAGCATAGACGGGAGCGCTGCCTCGGCATTTATCCAAGGACTATTTCGCCTGAAGTTTGAAATTTAGCAGGGAAGTAAAAGAAAGATGGTTAAGGTAGTTGGTGGACACCTGGAGATCCAACACCACGCCCCTTATCTGCTTGTTTGTCAGGGCACGTCGCATGTTACCCTTGAACCCTTGAAAATCCCGTCGTCGTATCCTCAAAGTGAGAAGGGGTGAAGGGAAACGAATCTAGCCTCGATAAAAAAATTCTCCGATTTTTAGTTCGTTCTGATGTGCTGTATAGCAGATCTTCGGGAACTTCTGGTGATTGGTTGGTTGTAGGACGAAAAGAAAAGGGGGAGAAAGGTGGGATGGGAGGGGTAGGGGGAAGGCGAATTCAGCGAAAATTGTTGCCAACGTCGGCCGGACATGCCTTGTCGTCCGTATCCTCGTTGGCATCAACCAACGAGATGTACGTAACATAAGCCGCGCAGACGAGCAGAAAATAGGCGTGGCCGAGGTTTGCTACCCTTCCCCCTTCGAGCCACCCTAGTGCGATAGAAAAAAATTCCCGTTGGAAGCTTACTTGATAAACGAATACACGACGAAGATGAAGGCAGAAGTGCAAAGAACACCGCTAAAGAATGAAAAGAGATACGGTGGACTTTCTCCGGTCGCGCCCTCAAATTCATCTTGATGTGCCTGAAGATTACTGTATGAGGAGGGTGGCACAGTAATTGACAGCCGCGTAAAAGTACCTTGATATAGTTGACAGGCAGCCACATTGTACCGTAAAAATGTACCACAGAGCATAGCGGCTAGGAAACTTCTGAATTATCCAAAGTTGTCTGTTAGTGCAAAAAAAATCAGCAAAAATCGGCATTCACGAGCAGGTTGAAAAGTGGGCGGGGCTAAAATTGGCTCAAGACAGAGCTTGTTCAAACCACTGAAGTTGCACGGCGCCGCAGAAAACTTCCGATACAGTCATAGCAAGCATAAAAGACCAAGCGCCCGCGATGGGACTTTGGCAGGTTTCAGGGGTCACATTCGCTAGAACAGATGGCCAATGAAGCACTAATCAAAAAAAAGCAGGAAAAAGGTGTGGAAGAGCGTGAAATAAGACCCTATGAAATTTAAGGCATGTGGACGAGTTTCGCAAACTTCTGGTGAGTTCTCCAATACACGTCGCCGCCTCGGAACTCTAGAAATTCAGCGTATATCAATGCCAGCAAGCATTGATAACTGTCAACCAGTCGGGGCGGGATTAACAGGACAGGAGGCGTCAGCCCGGCTCTGTTGACTCCGCCCTCGTCAACCAATCGATTTCGAGAGTGGGATTTCTGCTGTGATTGCGAACTCCGCGTTCGTTCATGGAGGTTTCTCACTTTGTTGATCGCCGACGCTGCCTTTAAGTACGAAGTTAGCTGCTTTCTAGTACGAGCTGCTTGCTGGCTACGCCCCATATCCAGGAGGTGGACGGGGCGTAGCTGCGTCGTCACTCAAACGTTAGGACGATGGAACCTCGCAGTTTTGGGGCAACTGTTATCAGTTCTTTGTCTAGCACAATCTAAGAAATTTAGTATAAATGAAAATATCCCATGAAGAACGCATCCTACGTCACGTCAAGATGAAGAGCGCGTCCACACCCTCTCCTTCTCTAGGATATGAACTGTGATACGGATAACACGTAGGCCATCTCTCTCACTAAATAGTCCGTGAATAGTTCCCACCTAGGGAAAAATAGCACTTAAGAAATGCCATTGTTTACAAGGCGCGAGAGCGCCAAAACTGAGCGGGTCCAGATTCACTCTAAAAGGGACGTGTTCAAAAGAGATGAAAAGCGCTACGCTTCGTGGGAAGCCTTCATTTTCACGATATTGTCCTCGATTGGGGCAGCATTGCTTCTACATTTCGCTTACAAAACTCTTTTCGAGGTTCAAAAAAAGTGGTATTTCAAGTTGGCTGGCTTTTGTAGAGCAAGCTCCGCTGCCCTATCAAAAGATAAATAGAGAAAGCAGTAGAAGGAGGCGTGATTTTCTAATGCTTCACCAACGAACTTACAATATCCTCTCAAGCAATGATATCTCATGGTGATCTTTGTGTTTTCGACAATGGGTTTCGAAGACATGAATCTGAATAGTCCATTACTAATTTTACATGCACAAAAGACGAGAATTTTCAATTTTACATGGGATCACAGGCATGTAATTTATTCCACATCATAAATATTTGGGGCAGGGGAGCATGCAGGGGCGCGAAGAGCCTTCTACTGTGCTCGCGGACGGACTTTGGTTGTCTCGCTTTTCTGAGGCTGAACTTCGAAAGGGAAAGAGATCACATCGTAGTACCGCTGCGTGATTCCCTCAACTGTATGTCCGCACTAATTTACCATGTTTTCTCACTTATTACCTACAGCACCAGCTCAGTTTTCAGTATTCCAGTTTTCCCCCCACAATTGCCACAGCTCTCTTCACCACTGCTTTTGCATGTAGAGCTCCATTTCCATCCCCTTCCAGCGGTTCGAAATTAAGTCGCAATGTCAAAACTTGCGATGCCAGCCTTCAGTCACAGACCCACCGGGATCTGAGTCTTACTTATTCACCCCCGCCTGTCCACGGAGAAGAGTGTTATCCCTTAACTTGCAGTGGCAGTGGCCTGTGCAGTGATCAGTGCCGCTTTAATTTCCGCTGTTTCTTGATCGGTAACGGTCTGAAGTGTTTCTTCTTCAAAACCTAGGTCCACCCTCAGTAATAGCGCTGAAGTGGCCATGACAACTTTAGCCCGTATAGGTAGAATTCATCCGTTTTCTACGAGAGAATACACTCACTACTGGGATGGTAGGCTCGTGTCCCGGTGCGTAAACTGGAACGTAGCCGGCCAAGAGTTTCGTGAAATGATCCACAACATTCCTCAATACGAGAAGACAAGACACACACAGTCTGCTAATCCCAAACACAACGAGCCACCACCACCACCAAACACCACCACACACCACACCTTCAGCCAACAACAGAACACTCTTGTTCACAGCTGAAAGCACACGCGAGTAACCCTCCTATGAAATATTCAAATTCCAACGGCCTGACACCCTCTAGCCAGACGTAAGCATGCAATTTGCATCATGGACGAAAACTGGTTACACCCGCTAGAATACTCCCAGTCTGCTGGCAAGTGTCACTTGTTTCTCTATTGGACCAGCAAGCCACACGGCACAATGGTGTCCACCACCAAGCATAAAAAACATCCTTCAGGTTAAGTTGAAACATGGGCACACGCCTACTGATCTCAGGGATTTCGAGTGATGGTGAGGAAGTGTAGTTGCTCTTTCGTAAATAAGGTTTCCGGCTTCCGTCAATGTCCCACTGCTGTTGACTGATCATCTTCTTGTACTTCTCCCCTTCCTTTTATATGCCAGTGTTAGTTACAATTCTTTGGCGAAGTGCCAGACTCTTTGCCCCTTCAACGGGTAGGCGTTGACTCTTGCGATACACTCGGCACGCGCCGAGTGCGCGTTGTCGATGAGTTTCTTCGTTGAGCTCTTCTTAAAGGCAGTTGGCACGATAAATCCCCCAAGGCGACTAGGATCAATACTCCTGGCAGGGTAGAATTCCGCGACCCTGGGCCAGGCGCTGCATAGCGGTTTCCCCGAGGAAGAGGTTGCAGTGATTGGCAAAGAGTTCCTGACGCTCGTATTCATTCATTTGCTAAGCAAATTATGAAGCGAAGGGATTGGTATGAAGCGGCCGTGATGCTGCATGCATACATGGGTACACATATGCAGCCGTATCTTCGGTGATTGGCAAGATGCCTACGGGAAACTCGTCCGAAATCGATTTACAAGTCACTGAGAACGGAGGCTTTTTCTTCGCAGGATTTTGACCGTTTCACTCCGTTCTTTCGCCATTTCCCCACTATACAGCGCCCTACTAGCATTTTAGGCTAAGTAGGAAACCATCGTGCCAACTGCCTTTAACTAGCTTCACAATAAGACCTTAGCCTAGTAGCACAGCTGCACAACTCAACGTGATCTCTTTTCTAGCTGTGGCTCCCCCTTTCCTATCACTGGTCAACATCCACAATTAGCTTAAAAATTCAGTAGATACAAAGTAAACTGAAGGATGCGAACGGTGACAACTCACCGTTACAGGCGTTTCAATGTCTTTCACAGCGTTCGATTGATTTTGAGTGTTACTTTTCACGAACATGTACATTACTCCTCTGAAAACGGTTTTATATGAGTTTTCTTCGGTGTATACCCCATGACTGAAAAAATCTAATGACATCTACGAGAATAGAATCCACTACCAGGTTTTTTCTTTTGCTTGGAAGATTTTTCCCCAAATTTGTAGGTAAGGTCATTATCACTTGAGCTAGTCGAGGTATGTCGGCGGTGCGTATGTTTTGGGGTGACATCAGCCCCTTTCCCAGTACCATTTCAACGACCAAAGCCACACTGATCAGTGGAAACTGGACTGGCACCAAGCCAACCCATGCCCTGCTGACATGCCAGTCTGACTTCGTTGTGAGACTGGCTGGAATAGCTTTTGGGAGTCCAAGCAAGCCATATCTGAAAAGGAGCTCTGCCAGAAACTTTCTTCTTGAAGAACACTTTAAAAAGCTAACCTCGATGTGGCCCAGCCGGTCAGGCAAGACAGCGTGTTCCATACGAGAATCGCTAGCGCCATTCCCAATCGGTTCATAATTGGTATAGCAAAAGCATTCGCTAGAAGAAATGGATAGAAATAGGGCGCAGTCGGGTTGGGGGGAGGACCATTTTGCCCTTTCGCCACTTCCCGTCGTCGTGTCCATTATTTTACAAGGATTGAGAATTATTGTTTACAAGAGTTGACAAGTGGTCTCTACAAACTTTGGCTGACACTGCTCCCTGGCTTCTCAAAATTCCACGCGTCCCAGCTTGATGGCCGGACACGTTGACGGAATGTGGCGAAAGTGCACCATGCCCTCCCCCCCCTCCCTCCTCCAAGTCTTACGGCTCCGAAATTTCAAAACGATTAGAGATGTGCTTTGATTTACATGCTATCAAGAAATCAGTGCAAGGGTTGGTTGGAAAAACTTCTGCACAGTTGATGTCTCGCAGTAGGTAGGGGCGGTGTCAGGAGGCGGGGAATGAGCTCACTCGGCGTTCTCTACCACTGGTTAGTTTCCACCTGAATCTATCGCTAATTGGAG